TAATCCAGGGATACAGGATGAGCAGCGTTTGTACTCCATGTTAGGAGCGGCTGCACATGGCGTCTGTTCCTCATGTCAGAGGCGTCCATTTCTTTTGGAACTAAGTCGGCCTGCCATTGAGTAGTGCTTCCAGTCTTAATGACAAAGGCAGATGCATTCTACTTCACCCAGATATGATTGAGTTGAAATAAGGGAGAAGAAGAAAATACTTTTTTTTCATTGTGCTAAAGATTCCCCTAATTCTCTCACTGTACCATACAACAAGCAATACAGCCTTTTTTAGAACAATTCTAAAATACACAGAAAATGTACCAGTTAGTCATTACAAAAGCATGTACCAGGCCAAAAGTTTAATATTGTTGTTTCTTATCCCCTTGTGTAAAGATTACACGAATTCCATGAGTTCATGCTCCTCGAGCTGTTTGATGATAAGCAGTGGCCTCTCCCAAAGGTCCTGTTTAGTGCATCTAATGCAAGCCAAAATGTGTTATGGAGCTACAGGTGCCAAGCTACATTTTGGTCAAATGGAGTAGATTTTCAAATAAAGCACGAAGGAAGTCTTTTGTCATTATTTTTAAACAGTACTGCTATCAAGTGTTATTTAATAGTACTGTTATCAAATGACAACACTAAATAACAATACTATTTAAGAACATGCCGTGACATTTTTTCTCATTTGATCTTTTGTCTGAAGATGATAACAACGCTGTTACCAAAACATCACATACTATTTACTTATTTAGATTTGGGGCAGTATATTTAAATCAATTGACATCAAATGCAAGCCAAAATGTGTTCTGGAGCTGCAGGCACCAAGCTTCATTTTGGGCAAGTGGGGTAGATTTTGATATTATTTTCTATATTCAAAGGCTTGAGATGGCCTGTTCTAAATCTTATTGTTTGGTGCTGTCTGAGGTTCAGAGCTCCTCCTGTGTCTACTCCACTGTACCAGCTGTGATTAGAAGTTAAATATTTTTATGAGAGATGGCTCAGCACAGAGAATAATACATTTTAATCCCTTCCATCATTTGGGAAAAATCATCGTCCAGGAATAGGATTCTTGTATATACATCTTCTAATATTCTATCTCAAGCTTTTAGAGGCCTTGATGTCCATCTACTGGAGTATTATTGATTTAACTATAACCTTGATAAGGCACAATTTGGATTATAGATTATAAACACAAGATAATAAGACCAAATAAATAAATATTGTGTGACATTTCGGTAACAGCGTTGTTTCAGTACTTTTGTCTGAAGATGATAACAACGCTGTTACTGAAACGTCACACACTATTTATTTATTTGGATTTGGTCTTATTACCTTGTTTTAACTATAAACTTGAATCCCAAATATGTAAACAAAGACTGACCTACTTTGGATAGATAATGGGAACAAATGGTTTAGAAAAGATGTTGATGTTGGGTAAAATTGAAGGAAGATGAAAGAGAGGAAGACCTTCAATAAGATGTCTTGAAAACAACTATAAGGTCGCTAGATGATCTTCGAGTGATGGTCATTAACAGAGAAAATTGTGAATATTCAAAACTATTATAGACGGATTCTTTTGAAAATTAAACAATTTCTACTGCCCTTACTACAATGGAAAAATTAGGGAGGGCCTGGCTCATCAGTGGTGAACCCTCCCTTTAATTTTTCCATTACAGTAAGGGCAGTAGAAATTGTTTAATTTTCAAAAGAATCATACGCATCTATAATAGTTTCGAGTATTCATAACAGATGGTGCGCTATGCGTCATAAGAGAAAATTGTATAATTTTTGTCCATAGTGTCACCTAATGTCAAACTTGACTTGAAGAACACACTAACAAAAAATATATTTATAAATGTATGTAATTCTGCTGTCCTCAAAGCTTATGTCCATAGTTCATCTAAAATATCCATTCCAAGAGTCTACCAACAGTATTACTATAAAAGCTCTGAACATCAGAAATAGACAGCCTCAAACAACACTAACAAGATTTAGAACAGGCCATCTCAAGCCATTGAAGATAGAAAATAATAACAAAATCTACCCCACTTGCCCAAAATGTAGCTTGGCACCTGCAGCTCCAGAACACATTTTGGCTTGCATTAGATGTACTAAACAGGACCTTTGGGAGGCCGCTGCTCATCATAAAACAGCTCAAGGAGCATGAACTCATGGAATTCGTGTAATCTTTACACAAGGGGATAAGAAACAACAACAACAACTATAAAAGGAAGTTCCAAAAATGCAATATAACAGCGGTATGGTAGATTAAACTGGCGAAACCGCTGGGAGGGTTCACCACTGATGAGCCAGGCCCTCCCATTAATTTTTCCATTGCAGTAAGGGCAGTAGAAATTGTTTAATTTCAAAAAGAATCTTACGCCTTTAAAATAGTTTCGAATTTTGATAACAGATGGCGTGCTAGTGCATCATACTAACAAAAAACAACACAATCTTAGAAAAAGGTTATATTTAGTAGATAATACTCCACTAGAAGGGTATCATGGCCAGAAATCTTGAGATAGGATATGAGAAGAGCTATATTAGAAACTTATTCCTGGATGATTTTTTCCCCATATGATATGATGCAAAGCATTAAAATGTATTATTCTCTGTGATGAGCAAATCTCTCTTAAAAAATATTTAACCATTTGGCCTGGAACATGTTTTTGTAATGGCTAACTGGTAAATCTGCTTTGTATTTTAGGTTAAAATGCTCTAAAAGAGACTGTAAGGTTTATATTGTATAGTGGATTATGGAAATTGGATTAAGAAGGATTAGGGAAAATGAACAGGTAGCCATCTTTATTCTTCTATTCTGATTTAACAAAATCAATAAGCAATCCAGAGCCAAGTCTCTTATAACCACTCTTTATTTCTCAAGATTTCAGGCCAATATGTCCTTCAACAGGAGGAAGTACCACTACAGTCAATTATACTTTGTGTTACACCTATCCCCCGATTTACACGGTACTTATTTTACACGTTTTCGCTTTTACACAGTTTTCCAAATAAGTTTTTTTTTTTTTTTTATTGCACTATACTAAATGCTACTGTGATTAAACACATGCGCTGTGTACACATCTCACGAGGAATCCCGAGCTTATGTGCTGACTTGCTGCACACGCACACTGTGTCTGTATTTCTAATTTTAAAAAATTTTTAATTTTCGATTTACACGTTTTTCTCAGGAACGTATCTACCGTGTAAATCGGGGGATAGGTGTACTTCCAGGTCTCCTGTTGAAGGACATAGTAGCTCGATAGTTTAAGAAATAAAGATTGGTTATAAGAGACCTGGCCCTGGATTGCTTATTGATTTTGTTGAATTGTAAAGGCAGGGATGAATATAGGTATTCTTCTTATCTGTTCAAATTTCCTTTATTATCTGTTATCAACACCTGGCATCAACTTTCTGGAATTTTATTCTGTTATCGACAACTGCCATCAACACACAAGCAGTCCGTAATGATCACTCACAGCATCAATAGCCTGTAAGTTTGTATCTCTCTATTTTTAATGTACTTTAAATATTTGTTTAATAAAAACATTCTTTACTCTTTTGAAAATGATTGTTCTCCTAATCCCTTTAGACAACACCATGCTCAACGGCAGTTTGTTCATTGACAAAAAGGAATTTTGGCCATTGGTCCCACTCATTCTTAAACAATTATTGTTCACCCAATTTATTGCCAGATTGTTCATTACAGGAAAATCATTGTTGATAACCACTATGATTAGCTATTCATATTTGGGTAATATCACGTGGCACCAATATGAATCTATAATAAAATAAAATAAACAATGTTTCCAGGGCTAAGTTTCTTGTGTAACTTTTTATTTTCAAGTTTTCGGACTTGTCAGTCCTTCAACAGGAGTATCACATTAACAAACTAATGATAAATATTTGAATACAAATTATTATTTACATATTTAGAATACTTATGATCTTGAGAGAGAAATAGAGTTAAACCTGTCTATAGCGCCCCCTCTAAATAGCGCCTTCCTCTCTATAGCGCCTAATTTTAAACATTAAAATGTAAACATTTTACATTAAAAGTGACCTGTCTATAGCACCCTATTTTGGTGAGTCCCAAGAGGGGGCGCTATAGACAGGCTTAACTGTATATTACATTTTAAAGAAACAATTTTTTGAAAATATATACATCTTAGATACACTCAGGGGTTGACCGATATCCCGAGACTTCAAACTAAATTTATCTATGTATCTATGTTTGATCTCTTAATGGAATGAAAGTAACATAAGGTAATAAGACCAAACCCAAAAAAATGAATAGTGTATGATGTTACAGTAACAGCATTGTTACCATCATCAGACAAAAGTACTGTATATTGGCATACTGAATGGTGATAACAATGCTGTTATTGAAACGTTGTAGACTATTTATTTATAGTTAAACCTGTCTATAGCACCCCCTTTTGGGACTCACCAAAATAGGGTGCTATAGACAGGTCACTTTTAATGTAAATCGCATCGTACTACGTATTTAAAATCGGGTGCTATAGAGAAGGAGCCGCTATTTAGAGGGGCACTATAGACAGGTTTAACTTGTATTTGGATTTAGTCTTATTAACTTGTGTTACTAACCTATAATCCAAATTGTGCCTATCAAAATGAAAGTAAGTTTACCTGTCTTGAGGCGTCCCAGAGTGAAGCCAACCCGTGCTAAGGTTTCAGCCAGCGCAATGGCAGGTTTGTCCCCTGCACGGCCGGCTGGGAAGGTCTGAGTGCCAATGTTGATCTGTCCGCGCAGGAAGGTCCCGGTGGCCAGGACCACACTGTTGGCTGGAATCTCCGTGCCATCTCCTGTCACAGATAATGGTATTAGCAATTAGCAATTCAATTAGCAATGGTTAAGTATTGTTTATGGTGTTTATTAGACCTCTCTAGACATTCACAGTATATAAATAATTATTCTATCTCTCAAGTTACAATGTTAAGTCAGATAGACATTATAAGAGCTTGATAAGGCACAATTTGGATTATAGGGGTTGGTGGAAGGCTGGTTAAACAGTTTGGTTTTCGACCACTACGACCCGGGTTCGATTCCCGCATTGAACACTTTTTTCTGATTTAAAAAAAAAATGCTCCAATGGTCCCCGATTCTTGCAAAAGTCCAACCCCACCAGCGAGTGCAAGTAACCAAAAGGGCTCTGGCACATTTGTAAGTGCAAAGTCGAACTGCTTTTCACATGTGTAGACATGTGGTGCGCTTACAGTAAAAAGCAGTCGCTAACTACCTACCATGATTATCATGGCCTGTACCACGTGTACTAGGGATTATTAAAAAAAAAAAAAAAATTGTATTATAGATTATAAATACAAGGTAATAAGATCAAATCTAAATAAATAAATAGTAATTGATATTTTGGTAACAGGGTTGTTATCATCTTCAGACAAAAGTACTGAATTCACTGAATATTTTGCTGAAACAACTTCAGCACTTTTTTCTAATGATGGTAACAACGCTGTTACAAAACGTCACACACTATTTATTTATTTGGATTTGGTCTTATTACCTTGTGTAGATAATTGTATAATTGCAGATTCTTAAACTTAGCCAAGGTGAGGTGTCAGTATCATCAGCAAGGTTTGTTTCCAAGAGTTCAATAGGAGAGAAGACCTATTAGAAGGAAGAGGTGTCTCCTGAGTTGCGTTGCCTTGACCCCTCTAGTTTGACCCCTTCGAGTCCAAAAACAAAAATAAACAAGAACTGGAGAATCCCACCTAAGCACAGCTTGTACAGTGGAGTGGACCCAGGAGGAGCTCTGAACCTCAGACATCACCAAACAACACTAACAAGATTCATAACAGGCCATCTCAAGCCATTGAAGATAGAAATTAACAACAAAATCTACCCCACTTGCCCAAAATGTAGCTTGGTGCCTGCAGCTCCAGAACACATTTTGGCTTGCATTAGATGTCAATTGATTTAAATATCCTGCACATTTATTAAACAATTAAAAAGGTTTCCGGAAATGAGATTCTTTTCACCTTAAAACCATTTCAAGCCCCCAGGCATCTCCACAGGAGAACATAGAATGAATAAAACACCGCCTGATGCCAATGCCTGGAAACCTTTTTAATTGTTGAATTGCATTAGATGTAGTAAACAGGACCTTAGGACAGAGAGGACACTGCTTATCATCAAACAGCTAAAGGAGAATGGACTCGTTAAGTTTGTGCTTTTAAATCCTTTCATTTTATATGTATAGATGGCGCGTTATTGCTTTGTGTTAATTAATGCCTAACTGGCCTTGTTTTTATTGTTCACGGAAGAGCATTGCTCGATGCAAATATTTGAATGTAATTCTACTGTCCTATAAGCTTATGTCCATAGTTTTCTTGAAAACCATTTCTGAGATTCCATCCTTCAGTGCTGCGTATATAAGCAGAATCGTCTAATACAGTATTAGAGCTCTGAGAAGCGGTCTGGTGGATTAAATTGGCGAAACCGCTGGGAGGGTTCACCGCTGATGAGCCAAGAGCCCTCCCAATATATTTTTTCATCGCAGTAAGGGCAGTAGAAGGTTGTATTATGTATAAAAGAAACATTCATGCTTTTAAATCCTTTCATTTTATATGTATAGATGGCGCGTTATTGCTTTGTGTTCATTAAGTTTGTGTAATATTTGTAGAAGGGGATAAGAAACAACAATACAGGAAAGATGGACTTAAATAGGGAAGAGGTCTCTCTCTGTTGCCAGACCCACCCAGCTTGACCCCGCTACAGGATCCGGGGACTGTGATGAGATCATCCACAGAGGACTCGTAGATGTAGAGGTTGGGGATGGTCTTTAGCTCAGCCTGGAGGTGTTTCTTGTACAGTGACCGGTCAATTTGGGCACGGTGACCCTGCACAAACCAAATTAAGAAACTCTAACATAGAAATTTGTGCAAATTTTACCTCACTTACATATAATTCAAACTTTAGAGATATCAAATTATAAAATAACAATACACTAAGGTGAAATGTATTACACAGCAGCTACAACAAATCATTAATATTTGGGTTTAATCTTAACTGAAAGATGAAAATTACAAGATGGACAACTCCTCCTTGGCCGGTCCCAAGCCCGGATGAAAAAGGAGATGGGGGGAGCAGTAACAAGCTCACTAAAAAACCTGGGCTCAGTTGGCCCGGCTGATAGTACCCTGTAAGGGCTCCTGATCGAGGGATACAGGATGAGCAGCATTTGTACTCCGTGTTAGGAGTGGCTGCACATGGCGTCTGTTCCTCATGTCAGAGGCGGCCATTTCTTTTGGAGCTAAGTCAGCCTGCCACTGAGTAGTGCTCCCAGTCTTAATGACAAAGGCAGACACATTCTGCTTCACCCAGTCATGAATGATTGAGTGGAGATAAGAAAGAAGAAGCAGAAGAAGATGGACAATCCTAATGAAGCTGATGTTCAGGCATATACAATAGAACCTCCCTTTAACGGACACCCCCGTTAGAGGACACCTCTCCAAAAAGGACAGTTTTCATTGCCAAAATTACCATTTTAACAATTTATTAACTCTTCTGTAAGAGGACACCTCTCCCTAAAGGACACTTTGGCTCTGCAATTAGATGTCCTTTACAGGGAGGTAGTTCTACTGTGTGTGTATATATAATACATCCCTGCCTTTACAATTTAATAAATTCATCAAGCCATCCAGGATCAGTTTTCTTTAACTATTTTTATTTCTCAAACTAAGGAGAAGGGGGAGCAGTAACAAGCTCACTAAAAAACCTGGGCTCAGCTGGCCCGGCTGATAGTACCCTGTAAGGGCTCCTAATCCAGGGATACAGGATGAGCAGCATTTGTACTCCATGTTAGGAGCGGCTGCACATGGCGTCTGTTCCTCATGTCAGAGGCGGCCATTTATTTTGGAGCTAAGTCGGCCTGCCACTGAGTAGTGCTCCCAGTCTTAATGACAAAGGCATTCTACTTCACCCAGTCATGGTGGTTGTCAAACAGACACCATCAAGGGTCACAACTTGATACCATAATATGATTGAGTGGAGATAAGAAAGAAGGAGAGATTTCTCAAGCTTTCGGGCTAACATGCCCTTTAACAGGAGAACTAGAACTTCCAGCCAATTATACATGCCTAAAATAGCTGGAAATAGTTATCGGGAAGTCATACTTCTAATTCTCCCGCTGAAGAGCATATTGTCCTGAAAGCCAGAGAAATAAAAAGAGTTAAACAAACCTGGCCCTGGATTGCTTGATGATTTTATTAAAGAAATTTATATATAAGCGATAGAACTCTTCCTTTTTTTTTTAATGTATCATTATCAATAATTATTTTTGACCAATGACAAATTTGTTTTCATATGATCTACAATAATTTGTAAATTAAATTCACTGTGCAATAAATTGATAAAGAGGGAGCAATCTCTCGAAATATTTTAAGAAAAAAAAAAATTTTTTTTTTTTTCTTTACAGATCCAGGTACGCCCTTTTATATAATCTTCCTGTTTAGATAATTAAATAAATTAAAGCACGAAGAAAGATGAGTTTCTTTTTAATAAACGCGAGCGAGGTTTCGGGCCACACGCCCTTCTACTGGCTAAAAGGTTACGAGATTCCAAAAAGATATAGGCTTATTTATATTATGGTAGGCGATATTTTAGAATATTTACATTTTTTCAGAATATTTACATCATTTTCTTATAGACAAAGAAACAAAAATACAACTATGATTACAATTAAGGTGTGCAAAAATAAAGGAAAAAGACAATGAGGTAAATTTCTAAATCTGACACATTAGGGGAGACCGGGATATCACTATGAATGTACAGTAAAACTCTTCTATAGTTAACACTGATTGGACCAAACCTTTGGCTCACTATAGCCATGGTTCATGATGCCTAAAATATGCCTGAAAGCTTGAAAATATGCAAATAAAATGAAAAGAAACTTATCTCCAGAAAAACTGTTGCATTATTTCAAATTATATCCAGGAGATTCATATCTTTTTTTTTTGCTTATCCCTAGTACACGTGGTACAGGCCATGATAATCATGGTGGGTAGTTAGCGACTGCTTTTTTACTGCAAGCGCACCACATGTCTACACAATGTGAAAGAAGTTCGACTTTGCACTTACAAATGTGCCAGAGCCCCGTTTGGTTACTTGCACTCGCTGGTGGGGTTGGACTTTTGCAAGAATTGGGGGAGCCATTGGAGCATTAAAAAAAATTTTTTTTTAAACAGAAAAAAGTGTCCAATGCGGGAATCGAACCCGGGTCGTAGTGGTCGAAAACCAAACGGTTTAACCAGCCTTCCACCGACCCCCAGATTCATATCTATTGTATATATGGAGATACCAATTCAAAGCAGGAAGTCAAACTTCAGAGAATGCAGAGGGGTGTGATAGAGAGAGAAAAGTCACTACTAACCCACACAGCTGGTCCTTTCTTCCTGTTGAGAACCTTGTAGTGGATACCGGAGAGATCTGGGACATGATGAAGAGATGGTAAACAGTTACAAGGGACAAGAAGGATGCTCACCGCAGATTTTTCCACAGACTCCGTCCAGGGCATCCACCTCCTTCATCAGGTGACCCTTCCCAATGCCCCCGAAGGACGGATTGCAGGACATTTCGCCTGGGAAACAACATAGACTTGTTTGCATACCATAATTTGACAACAACAACAGGCTCTGAAAAGTCTCCATTACTAATACAAGTGTTGAGTTGGATTGATAATTTGAAAATCTTCTGAACACTAGAATGATAAGGCACAATTTGTATTATAGATAATAAACACAAGGTAATAAGACCAAATCCAAATAAATATATAGTGTGTGACGTGAAGACACACACTATTTATTTATTTAGATTTGGTCTTATTACCTTGTGTGAACACAAGAATGTAACTCAACACTGTCTTCCATTGGAGTGTGTGTGTGTGTGTGGTACATAATTCTGACTGTATATGTAACTTGAAATACCAATTTACACATCCACCTACCTATAGAAGAAGCCTTGTGGGTGAGGAGCAGTGTGGAACAGCCCATCCGGGCGGCCGCGCATGCTGCTTCCACACCAGCATGGCCTCCTCCCACCACCACCA